ATCGTAGGCCTCGAGAGACTTGTGCGCCGTGTCGGCCGTGAACTAGCTTGGCGAAAAAACTAAGTACTCGACGACATGAGCCGTCGACTTCGGTGGCAGCAACTTCACGTGGGAACTCCAGCAGGCCTTGTTTGCGGCTTACGGGTCCTCCAAAAAAAAACGCCGTCCTTGCACAGTTTTTTTCGATACTGCTGCCATTCAGGCTCGGGTAGCGAGCTCAAATTGTCGGGCATACCATAAGACATACGTTGTCAGGAAATACGACGCAGAAATAAAGCAAGAAGCGTCCCTGCAACGTCAACAACGAGCGCATGCCACACAACGCAATGGCGAAAACGCGGAGAGCCGAGCGGCTTTTGCCCACATAGCTTCCGCGCATGCGCGGCCTTCCGGCCGTGTTGGTAAACAGAGCCGCTCCGCGTGTCGGTCTATAAGGTGGAGTGTATGCCTATTCATTTCAATTACATATTTATTCCTGTATTTCTTGAAATATCTTAAATTTCCCTTCAGAAAATAATATACAGAAATGTTATATAATTGCATAAACATTTCGAGGGAAAAAAGACTAAAAACGACAGAACTGCCAGAGCAAAAACATAAAACAATCAATGCACAGCCATAAAAATTGAAGTAAAACAAACTCAAATTAATCAATGTTCACATCTAATTGTACAACCCCCCCCCCCCCCCCCCCCCCCTCCCGATTCCGAGTCAAGAGGTCCAACGCGCCAAGAGGTCCAACGAGTCAAGAGGTCCAATATTGGACCTCTTGACGCGTTGGACCTCCTGACGCGTTGGACCTCTTGACTCGCCGTGGATCTCTTGACTCGTTGGACCTCTTGACGCGTTGGACCTCTTGACCCATATTGGATCTCTTGACTCGTGCCTCGATGTGTTAAAAGGTCCAACGCGTCGAGGTCCAATATTGGATAGCTTGACTCGTTGCATCTCTTGGTGTGAAATATGTACAGGCGAGGGGTGTGAAATAAGTACAGGCAAAAAATTAGAAAAAAAAAATATGAGGGCACCTAAACTTTCTCTTACGATGTGAGAATGCGCGAGCACTAGCTTTTCCCGAGTTGTGCTGCCGCAACGGATAGCGCCCTAGTTGCGCAATGAAGAGGGCCTAGGTTCGAAAGCAGACAAGGAAGGGTTTCGTACTCATGTAACCAGGAAGGTCACGTGACCAGAGTTTTTTTTTTGTTTGGTCACATGACCAGATAGGTCACGTGACCAGAGAAATCACGTGACCAGGGAGATCACGTGACCAAAGATATCACGCAACCTGAGTTTTTTTTAATTATTGTTATGTTGGATTGCGTTGGACAAGCCACGAATTTTGACGATGGATTTTGCCGACGGCTTTTTCGCTGACTGACCCAGGTAATGCTCACGCATTAAAAAAGCAGACAACAGAGATGCTGACAATAAAGGCGGAGAAGAAAAATGTCGGAAAAAAAGCAAAAAGTGGAGCTGTGAAGACTTCGACACGGCAGGGGGGATCTCACGAACACGGCTTTGATGAATCGTTTCTGGCCGGTGATGTAATCAGTGCTCGTGCGTATAACCCGTGATTTGCTTCGTTTCTAAAGCGACAGATACGGGCGCGCTGGGCTGTGGGGATCGCATGCTGGGCACTGGATTTGTAGACACCAGAAATCATTGTTGTTATAAACTGTCAACCTTATAGCAACATTCGTTTGTCGGGGACCTGTGTGACTTCGCTCTTCTAGCCCCTGACCACAAAGTCGTAAATCTGCATCTCCCGTGTTGCTCTCCCCCGCGAATATCGAACACGTAATCGGAAAGGTCTTAACATTTGAAAATTTGAGATGCCTTTTTTTTAGGAAGTGACTACTTCGATATCCGGGTTCTAAATAATTGTAAAACCATTTTCAACACATGTTCCGTCACATACGAAAGATATGTCCATAGTTATTTGCTATTTCGACGTGTATACCATCACATTAAAGCACTATTACGGCGTTTGACGTCAGGATAAATGAACATAGTTTTTTTTTTCTTAATTTCTGTGTCATCATTTTTAAAAGTTGTAGTAATTAATATAATTTGTTAACGTCCCGTCAAAATAGCTTCATTGATATTTTGAAGTCCTTGGTCTTTGAGGAGCTTGAAGAGACAGTTTGGCCTGGCGCAGATGGCATGTAAAGTTACTAATTTTTTTTCGTTCGCCGTGGCCTATTTTAACTATAGCACTGAACACACTAGATCTATCGGCTTCAAAGATCTACGTGCTTTCCGACACGAACAATTCCTCAATCGACTTCAATCTTTATAATCATTTTTTCTAAAAAGTATTGAGCAACTAACCCATCGTCTTACAATTCCAACCGAGTAACACATCGCGTAATTTTAACTAAAAATAAATGATATTGACAGACAAGTGTTCGGTAATTCATGTCAAGAATGCTTAATCATGAAACGTTCAGTTTCATGATTTATTTCACAGCATTCTCAAACATAAAGAGCAGTAAAGGAGTTTTATATAGCTAGCATAAATATTTGTGGCTACTCAGTGCTTTTGAGTAAGCCAACAGCCCAAATTAACCAGCTATAGCTAGCACCGGTCACAACGTTTCAAGAAGACAATGCTCGCATTCATTTGCAACACTCTATTGGACGCCAAGTGGCATAATCTGGGCTCGTCTTAAGACGCCCTCCAATGATATTTGAGCTTCTTTCTGTGTTGTGTTATCTACCTCTTTAGTGATTCGGTGAACTCAGTGACTAAAAACTAAAGCATAAAATAGTAATGCATCATATTTTTAATAGAACATACGAGAACCCGGTACTGGACAAAGTTACCCAAGGAAGTATTTGCAATTACAAATACTGAGACACATGCAAGGGGAGGCTAAACGCGAGATGCTGAGGTACATTTGTAGTTCATATCTTAGGAATTTAAGAGACACTTCCGTAGAAATGGCATAACTGAGTCCTAGAACAGAGAGACTGGAACACAAATATTAAGTTCTACAAGTCCAAAATATGTCGCCAGGCACTATCCATTATTTAACACTGAAATACATATACATTGTGGCAAATAGTATCTGTCTACTTGTCTCCCATGGCTATATAGTACTTGTATTCTCCAAAACGATTCAAATAGGTCAAAAAGTCAGTAACCGTCACAAGCAGTCATTAATAGCAATATCATTATAAACCGAGAAGATAAAAATAAGGCTCGATGGACTTCTTGGCGCGTTGGACCTCTTGACGCGTTGGACCTCTTGACTCGATGGACCTCTTGACGCGTTGGACCTCATGACACAAATTGGACCTTTTGACTCGTTGGACCTCTTGACGCGTTGGACCTCTTGACTCGAATTGGACCTTTTGACTCGTTGGACCTCTTGACTCGGCTGTCACGTGGCTATTGGACCTCTTGACTCGTTGGACCTTTTGACTCGTTGGACCTCTTGACCATAAGCGCCCCCTCCCCTCCCAATCTTAAACAAGAAACTTTCGAACACCAATCATATAATCCCTGAATGTTTAGAGAAAAAAAAAAAAGCCCGAAAACGTTCGATGTTAGATACGCTGACAGTGTGATTACGCAGGTCATTCCACAAGACAACAAATTTGGCAAAACAAAATACAGAAATGAATAAGTTCGGCAGGTGTAGAAATCAAGTTTGCATGAGTGATAAAAAGAAAAATGTATTGCTTATTCCCTGACCTCACTGCTTGTAGCCTGGATTAATAAAAACGACAACACAAATTGTGCTGCGACTGACAGCGGTAGTTGCTGCGTTGTAGAAAGGCACGTTGAAGGAGTTTTGCTTTTAGCTAGTGTGCTGTACAATGTTTGCAATGGGATCATTGGTTTCAGTGTAATTGGTGTAGGAGAGGTGTTGAGGAGATGTGTCTTTTTTGGTGGAACGACTGTGCGAGATGTTGGCTTTTGTTAGCAATGGACAAAGAGACATACTTTTGCTTCCTTTTGCTGAAATGCTTTTTGAGGACGTGGGCGCCGAGACCACGCCTGCGGTGGAAGAAGCAAAAGTACGTACACGAGTTGTTCTGTAGAGGTGCGGAGAGCACACGAAAACGGAACCTGGGCGGCGCAGCAGGGAGGCGAGGGATCGTGTCCGCACTTCGCGACAGGCGTGGGTATTTCGCAACGGCGGCTGCTGTAGAGGGGGAAGGGGGAGCGTCTGGACAATAAAGTATCTATTGGTATGAAAATGTTTTAACGTAATTAAAAGAAAATTAAGAAGATATTTTTGTTCATTATAGGGCTAATTATGAGGATTAGCCAACTATACTATTTCCCCTGGCTATATACCTCACCCGCATAGACTGCCTTAACGGGCTTATCGCGATTTTCTAAAAAATATATCTTTTCTAAATACAATAAAACACTTTGTACAAATTTAGCACTTAATAAATACGTATTTGGGTGTAACCTGGTTTCCCCCGAAGAGTTCACTGATAAAAGAGATAAAATGTTATGAAAAGATTAGTTTTAGGGGAAGGACCTTCATTTTGAAAACACGAAGTGATCTATAGAAGAAATGTTTTTCCAATATTTTGCAATATGCCACAATTCTAGCTAGACCTACTTTCGGCAACATTTCTAACATCACTCCATGCACTTCAAAAATGTATATATATGATATATATATTCTCCAAATAAAAAAGACTAAATTTATTGGAATTACGAGCGATTGGGTAGTTTTCATTTAAAGTCATCCTTCATAAAAAAAACTTGTAGAGACATACACACAAACTACGGGACACATCAAAAACAAAAGTTTCTAAAGCCAGTTACTTTACAGTTAAAATAAAACAAATATTGTATTCCCGGCATCGTTCGTTCATTTGTTCATACACAATCATTGCGACGAGCGCCAGATGCACTTCCTAAACGTTCAACCCTCGACGGCAAAAAAATAACACAAAAAAACAGAAACACAGCTGGTGTTCTCCGCAGCTCTGTACGCATTCATATACTACCTAGACACGGTCACTCCAACATGGCTGATCTGATTGTCATGTACCAGGGTGAACTGGAGGCACATCCAGCCATCACGCAAGTTCTGACCATGGCTACGTTGCTACTAGCCGGCGACGTGGTCTCCCAGACTTTCTTCCAGAAGAAGCCCTTCGACACGAGACAAGCCGCCCACTTCTTCATCGTGGGCGTGTTCTACACCGGTCCATGCTCAGTGACCTGGTTCAGACTTGTGGAACGATTGGTCGTCATGGACGGGGTCGCTGCAGCCGTCATCAAGGCCCTCGCCGGTCAGGTCATCTACACCCCGCCGTATACGCTAGGCCTACTGGTCCTCTACGGCCTTCTCCAAGGACAGAGCTGGAAGGAAGTCCTGGATAGCGTAAGGAGTAAATACGGTGCAGTGCTAATATCGAGGTACATGGTGTATCCGGCGGCGCAACTTATCAACTTCGAGTTTGTGCCCGTAGTCTATCGTACCATGTATGGAAGTGTGATCGCGTTGTTTTGGAACATTTACCTTTCCTGGAAGGCAAATCGGTTAGAAGGGGAGCTCCCGGTTGACCCGGTTCAGAAGGACGTGATTGAATCAGCCTGAAGCGACATCCTTTACAAGGGGCTATCTACACCGGGGTGAAAGGCGGCACGTGATTGCGTCCCTAAGTTAATTTAAAACTTAGTGGATGGAACTAAAGTAACCAAAACTTATGCTCGTGTTTGCGTCATGTGGAATTTTTTAAAATTATTTCTTTGCTGCAAAGTTTCACAAATTGTGTATACATAGAGCGAATCAGCCAGAAAAAGAAAAGAGTCAACAGCAACTGGTGCGACCATCGAACGTATTTTAACTCCTTTTTGTTTACACGGACTCCTGATACGCGATCAGATTTGAAATGGGCGTCATGATATTAACAAAGCCCGACTAAAACCTGAACACCGTAATGCTCATTCCCACTAAATAAGCTAGGCTTAAAAGTGCAAAAAATAATCATGTTCTTTTTTTTTTTAATATTCAAATTAGGTTTGTTTTGATTCGAATCGGATTTGTTTTATTTAAACCAAATAATTTGATTTAAATTTCGGTAACTTAAAAGTAGTGACTCGTTTTTACGTCACGAATTGGTAAGCATGGCCCACTGATGGATGAATTCATTCGATCACTGATAAAAATACAGAAGAAATAATTGTAAATTTAAAGTACAGTTCAAATATTTACCTTTTATTGATGAAATGCCGGCCATACTAAAACAGAAAAAGCTTGAATTTTTGTCAGTTAGTTTCTTCTCTTTTTGTTTCGTGCTCTGATTTGCGAGCAATAATGTATCACTTTTGTCTAGTTTTTGTTTCTTTCTTTAGCGTTCGATTTGCTCACAATGTGACGTTACGCGACTGGCAAACGAAATGTTACACGGAAAGAAAGCTCAATGATTCAATTTCCATGAAAGAGCGTGTTCAGTCTAATATTAAACCACACATGGCGCGTCCAACATGAGGCCCGGTCGGTATGCCTCTGCTTCTGTTCGCCCCCAGGGAGTCCCACAGATTCGTTGTGCGGATGATTCTTTAACGCTAACTATGCCCGTTGAGACAAACTCTGTTGGAAGTTTGGTGACTTGTCTCATATAAGAGCTCAGCAGATGTCTCCTCCAGTCGAGTACCGAAAGGACTCGGAAGACGAGGTTGCGGACGCGACTCTCGAGCGCCCCAGAATAGCGGTTGGGAGGAGGTGACGCAACCGGGGGTTACGAGGAGTGCGGGTAAGATGTAAGGAAGTCGTCTTCGGAGGCGGAGGAGAGGCACCGCATGTTCGCTGAAAGGCAGGATAACGGCTGACGGGAGGTAAAACAACAGGGCACGGCAGACGGCCACGATGAACCACGCTTACCCGTTCCTTCTTCTCGTACTGTGTCTGTGGCTGAAATGCGGGAACCCATGCCAGCCAGCTGCCGGTGACCAAGCGCACGGAAACCCCTACTCGCTCCACGTTAGCAGCAACACGACACGCGCCAGCAGCGATGACTACGCGACTTTTGTGGAAAAACACTTTGTGATCGACACCCCTGTCGGCCACCACGTGCAAGGAACCGTGACGTCACCACAGGAGTCTACAAAAGGCGCCGAGTGGCAGCAGTTTGTCAGAGGGCACGGCAGAACGGCCACGATGAACCACGCTTACCCGTTCCTTCTTCTCGTACAGTGTCTGTGGCTGAAATGCGGGAACCCATGCCAGCCAGCTGCCGGTGACCAAGCGCACGGAAACCCCTACTCGCTCCACGTTAGCAGCAACACGACACGCGCCAGCAGCGATGACTACGCGACTTTTGTGGAAAAACACTTTGTGATCGATACCCCTGTCGGCCACCACGTGCAAGGAACCGTGACGTCACCACAGGAGTCTACAAAAGGCGCCGAGTGGCAGCAGTTTGTCAGAGGGCACGGCAGAACGGCCACGATGAACCACGCTTACCCGTTCCTTCTTCTCGTACAGGTTAGTAAGCGAACGGGTTACTCTGTTCAGAGTGACGATGTGTGTTTGGTTGTTCTGCCGTGCCCCAGTGTTTGCGCGAAAACATTTCGCCGTTTGCTGATTTTGTTGGGCGGGGATATAGAGACCAACCCAGGTCCCATGACAGCAAAACAAGAAGAGATGTTAATGAGTGTGCATGCAATGGTTCAGAATCTGTCTACTGGCATGAAAAAACTTGAGGCAGGCCAGGCAAAAGTACTAGGCGATATCAAAGACTTAAAGAAAAAACAACAAGAAATTGACTCGTCTATCTTGTCTCTGAAGCAACGCGTCCATGGCCTAGAACAGAAATCAGAAATCGGTGACGCGACCGGATCACCTCAAGTTATGGGGCAGTTGTCGGAGATGAATGCAGAACTATATGCGCTGAAACATCGGTGCGCTGACTCGGAAACACGATCACGCAGGTGTAATCTCCTGTTCTTCGGCATTAAAGATAAGGATAACGAGACCTGGACGGAATCCGAGCAGCATATTATCAAACTCTGCGCTGATTTGCTTGATATAAGTATTGAGCCAACTGAAATTGAACGAGCACATCGCCTGGGTCGTTTTAAACAGAAAAAAAATCGTCCTGTCATTGTCAAATTTTCTTCTTTTAAGAAAAAAGAAACCATTATGTCGTCCGCCCATAAACTGAAAGGCTCTGAATTTGCTGTAAGTGAAGACTTCGCACCAGAAATTCGGCTTGCTCGTAGAAAGCTGTTAGATTTTGGTAGATCTCAAGAGGGTCCTTTTAAACTACGATACGATAAGTTGTGCATTGGTGAACGTACATTCGTGTATGATCAAGCCTCGCAAGAAGTAAAACAAAAAAGCTGGGACCAAGTAGGCTCTTCTGCTGCGAGTACTACAGAATGAAATCAGGTGTCTTCACCAGCAGCTGCAAAAACAAAAAAAACATGAAAAGCCAATCCGAATGTTGGTTGTAAACTGCCGTAGTGTCAAAAATAAACTCTCCGAATTATGTGGTCTCATTGAAGCGACAGATCCCTCAATCGTTGTGGGAACTGAATCATGGCTTGATGATGGTGTTAAAGATTGTGAAATATTTCCTCAGGGATATGCAGTATATCGTCATGACCGTAATAGTCACGGCGGAGGGGTGTTCTTATTGATTGCTGACGAATTGCACAGCACTCACTTTGAAATTCAGGACAGCTGTGTTGAGTCTGTTTAGTCTCGTATATGTGTAAAAGGGACAACAATCTTAATCGGTGCTTTTTATAGACCCCCCAAATCAGGTCATGAGACATTAGCCATGTTACAAGAAATTATTAATAATATGCCAAATGAGTGTGTAATTTTAGGTGGTGATTTTAATCTTCCAGAAATAGTAATGGACAATGGAAACATTAGAGTGCCAAATACGATCTTATATAAAGAATTTGAATGCCTTGTGAATACTTTTGGTTTTAAACAATATGTCACCCAGCCTACAAGGAAAGACAACACTCTTGACCTGGTAATGTGCAACTTCCCGGAATATATTGAAAACACAACAGTCATTCCTGGAATAAGTGATCATGATGCAGTTACAGCTGAACTATCCCTTACAAGGCCTCCAAGTCTGAAACATAATAAAAGGAAAGTTTATTTATATAACAAGGGTAATTATACTGCACTTTCACAGGACCTGCAGTCTTTTTTAGCTGTTTTCAATCACAGGGAAAACCTCACAGACATTGAAACATCATGGAACATGTTCAGGGAGAAACTGCACTCTCTTATGAAAAAACATATACCCACGAGAAACATTAAAGAGGGAAAAGCTGTCAACAAAGCATGGGCTACTCCAGAACTTTTAAAACTAATAAAACGCCGAAACAGAGCGTTCGGTAAATACTGTAAAAATAAGTCGGAACTAAACAGAAATAGGTTAAAGAGCTTGTCAGCCCAGTACAAGTTACTTGCAGAAAAAAGTAAAATTACATATTTTCGGAGGCTAAATAGCAACTTTGCCAACAACAAAAAAGAGTTTTGGAGGTTCGTGAAGAGTAACAAGAAAACGGACACTACTATACCGGCACTCCTTTTCGAGGGAACTGATGTCACTGATGATACAGCAAAGGCGAACTGTTTAAATGAGTATTTCAAATCTGTGTTTAACGCCAAGATACCACCTGGGGACACGTCACGTTTTGTAAATTTAGGTTATCATCCAATGTCGCCGCTTATCATCCAATACAAAGGAATTGAAAAACTGCTGCTTAGTCTCGACACGTCGAAATCAACCGGACCTGACGGCATTCCTGCTGTCGTGCTTAAAAACTGCGCATCTATCTTGTCGTGCTATTTGCAGATTATTTTTACAAAAAGCTTAACTGAGCGCAAGCTTCCAGATGATTGGAAAACCGCCAATGTTGTGCCGATCCACAAAAGCGGTAGCAGAAATGTTGTTAGTAATTATCGGCCTATCTCGTTGACGTCGATCACATGTAAAACTCTTGAGCATGTCGTTTATAGCAGCCTAATCACGCATTTGGAAGGTCATAATCACCTTGCAAAAGAACAATATGGTTTCCGGTCCGGTGCATCATGTGTAACGTTGTTAGCTGAATTTCATCATGACATCGCAGTTGCAATTGAGTCCGGAAAGGAGGTTGATTGTGTTTTCCTAGATATGTCCAAGGCATTTGACAAAGTAGATCATTCTCTGTTCATTGAGAAAGTTAGAGTGTTTGAATATCCATTCCGATGTTTTAGCCTGGATTGGTAACTACTTAGATGATAGAAAACAATGCGTACTATTGAAGGGTTGTTCATCCAATAACGTTACTGTAACATCTGGTGTTCCCCAAGGTTCGGTGTTGGGACCTCTGCTCTTTCTGACATATATTAATGACATCTGTTCAAACATTTCTTCGCGCTTTAAACTTTTCGCTGACGATTGCGTCATATATTGAGTAATTGAGGAAGACGAAGATTATCTCAAACTTCAATTAGACTTGGACCGAGTGTCAAACTGGTGTATCGATTGGCGAATGGAGCTTAATGCAAAAAAAATGCAAAATGGTTAGATGTTCAAGGAAAAAGCAAGTCAGAGAAAATATGGGCTATACGGTTAACACTCAACAACTCGAAAGAAAAGAAAATATTCGTTATCTTGGTGTTATTTTCTCAAGCGACTTACTATGGAATAGTCATATTAATTTCATTACTAATAAGGCGAACAGCATGTTAGGATTTCTACGTCGCAATTTTCGCCATTGCCCGAAGGAATTGAAGGAAACTTTATATTTCTCTTTTGTACGTTCAGTTCTGGAATATGCATGCATAGTATGGGACCCCCAGACTAAACATCTATCGGATAAATTAGAACGAGTGCAAAATCGCGGTGCTAGATTTGTCTCAAATATTTATAGGTTCAAAGCGAGCGTCACGGCCATAAAGCAACAGTTACACTGGCAGCCGCTGTCGTACAGACGAAAAAATCTTAGACTAAAATATTTCTGCTGTCTTTATAATGATAAAACTTGCATCAGTAAAGAAAATTACATTCGATGTCCTTTCTACGTGTCGGAAAGAGTGGACCACCAATACAAGGTTGCAACCATTAGCTCTTGTTGTAAATCATATTTTGTTCGAACTGCATTAGAATGGAACATGCTTAACGGAAATGTGTTTCCATCTGTGTTTTCAGCTGAACTGTTCTTTGTAAACCTCTCCCTGCAATAATACCTCCAAGGCGATGCAGGTAACCTCAATAAATAAATAAATAAAGAACTCGTGGCAGATTTAGGATTTATTTCTATTAGGGTTTAGGGTTCAGGATTTAAGACGAGAAGGCAGATTTAGGATTTAGGCTTGGGGGGGGGGGGGGGGGATGCGGTGAGAATGTAAGCGTTTGTCGAGGCCCACGGTGCAGATGGGTTTCTGTCAGCGAGTGTCGGAAAAATTGCGGGACCAGCAGTTTACACCGGGAACGCTGGTGGACGAGTTTTTCAGCGGGTGTCGGAACAATTGCGGGTATAGCAGTTGACTCTAAAGCCCCTTCATGTTTCAAAAGTACTGCAAGGTTCGTCGATACACAAGGCTCGTGCAACGTGTGGCTCTTGGGAAGATCGCAGCGGCACAGCGCAGCACTGAGCTAAATTTCAGCCACCATGAATTTCCCAGAAGTGGCGCGCGGCACGTGCCTCGAGCATTTCTACAACAATAAATGGCGCCACTTTTCCCAGGATAGAGGGGCTTTAGTTGACACTGGGAACGCTGGCAGGCGAGTAATGAGCACTATAGAGTGCCTTCATACACACGCGCTTTTGCTTAAGTGGTGACATCTCAGCCATTTTTCCGCTCAATTGTTTTTCATGCCTTTTGAAGTGCGCGCAATCCGGTGTCAGTCAGCTCGAGCGCGTAGCTTTGGCTAATGCATAGACGCCATTTTACCGCTCAAGTCATGCACCGAGTGCGCGAGAGCGTCACGCGCTGGCACATTCAGTGCAACAATGGATGTCTTCACCCTGAGACAGACAGACATGCAGGCACCCTAGAGCACTACGATTCGTATCTGCTGGACTAAGTCAGCTTGTTGCTTCACGTCATTCCAACAATCGCCGAAGGGTAGGGGAACGACTCTTCCCTAAGGATAGACGTTCCTAGAAAGCTACCGAGGCAATTTGTAGGATGCTTTTTCGACTTCATTCTGGCCGTTCGTGGCAGTGACAGCAATACTTTCAATAAGTTATGTCGCGTCACGACCTGGCCGGAGATAAGGCGGTAGATATTTAGGTGGGATTGTAGCTGTCCAGCTTGCCTTGAGGTGCGAACGGTTCAAATGGGCGTGCTCGCTGAGCTGCTGCCTCTTCCGAGGGCCGACGAGTCCCTAGAGCCCGTATGCACATGGAAGGGACGGGACGCTGCCGCTTACATCAATTCGCCCACGGTACACGCGGCCGTTGCGGAGCGCGGGTATGGTATGGCCATACCGCCGCAGGCTCTGGATCCCTTCGCTGGCGCGACAGTTCGACTAGGTTTACGGATTCGTTACCTAGTCCTGGGAGAAACACACACTCCGAGCAACGCAGCTAGTGGTTTTGCCGCATCGCTTGCTTCGAGGTAAGAGTGCTCGAACTAGGTAAAAACGCGAACGTCGTGTCTTAGTTCTCACTCGGCAAGATACAAACCAAAAATCTGGCCCGCTTCACATCGCTGACTTGAAGGGATACCGACGCGATGGGGAATAAGGTTAACATGAGGTCGCGGTAGGACACAGGAAATCCCATGTTTCTGGCGATCCAGGAGCGAGCTCTGGAATCCAGACTCGTCGAGTCAGCCTCACGGTACACGAACCCTTCAGCAAGCAATTTCGCAGTGGAAGCTATGTCCACTGCCCCAATCTGCGGGAGAGTATTTTTTTATTGCGTTATTTTAACACTTTGTTCTGCGCAGAATGGCTTCTGGAAAAGACTGCCATAGACGGCGTCAACCGGGAAGTGCACCGGGAGAAAATACGGGCCCATTCGTATTCCCAACTGCTCAGGGTGGCTGACACTTGTTCGGCCTGACGAACGGTTCAAGCGGGCAGTTCTACGCCCGCGGCGACCTCCAAGCAGAACGGGTCAGGTCCGTCCGCGTCGGGGGGACCAGCTTAAAGCAGGCCCCCTGCTGCATCGTTGTGAGTGGGACAGCGAATGACGGACAGGTCTACATTGTCTGCCGTCTTCGCTAGAAGAGCCAGCTGAGCCCGGCACCAAGAAAGACCGACGCCGAGGGTCTCACTACCACCTACGCCGCTTTCAGACGCTGCAACGTGGCCACTCCCGGCAATACCAATAGCCGCCGCCTCTCCGACACCTCACACGGCCCCGACCAGAAAGTTCACCTGTCTCCCCTGTTCATCGACGTGGAAGAACTTCTCCCTCAAGCCCATGAAATTCCAAGTAACGGAACTCCTCCAAAGTCCTCCGAAGTCCGGGCCTTGAGGGGACGGGGGGGGGGGGGGGGGGGGGAGGGGGGGGAGGGGGGGGAGTGGGGGGGGGGGAGACGAGGGTGAATGACGAAGGGACGGAGGGCACGTGACAGGCGGTTGGCCGAGGAGACACGAGCTTGCGCGAGACAGTGCGTGCTGCGCGAGGCTGGGGCTCGCCAGGAACAGTGGAGCCGTTCTGGCTGGTCTGACCCATGGCGATCCCCGGAGCGGTCCACAAGCGAGGTTTTGACTAGGACCGGCAAGAACGGTGAGCCCTGGCCATGCCAACCTGAACCACGAGTATTCCGGAGTGGTTCCGCAGCGAGACTCGGGCTGTGATAGCCAGGGACAGCTAGCTAGCCTACGCAGCGCTGTCGTGGGAAGGTCGACCCGCAGGCCTGGACACGGACAAAGACTGCGAGCTCTGAACGACGGGCAACAAGCAGGGTCGCCGGGCCAGAGTGCCGGCTCTCGAGGACGGGCAACCGGGAAGTATTGTAAGCCCACTTGCTGTCTTCTCGTTTTAATGAGTCACTCCCCGGGAGACGAGCGAAGCACATACCGAACGAACGGCGATTCTTAATAGATCGAGATTACCGCAAAGAGATTACCACGAGTTATGAAAGTATTTGTAAAGGACCGAGTTCCTTCCAGACATATTCAAGAATTGTAGCTAGATAAGAGTATCTAAGCTCGACATTGGCGGGGTGGCTCCTCGAAGACACCACAATGGAAAGCCTGAAAACGGTGCGAGCATCATGCAGCTGTCTATAAAGTAGTTGATGATTGAAACGCTATGGTAGAATGAAAACTCCATGCAGGTGTTGCTATCGTCAGAATGAAAACACCTGTGACTGAGAACTGCTGCAAGCTTGCTAAGGCAAGGCGTCCCGTCACTAACTTCAGACTCCGGATCACCTAATATCAAGCTAAATTTTGTTTTGTAAAACAGCTAGCGGAGACGTCAGCCGGTAACCTTGCAAAAAACGGCGATGAATATATTAGCCACAATCTGTCAGACATCTTACCGACGGAAAACATCGGCGAACGACAAACAAGTCGCTGTCGTTTTCGTTATCGGGTTTATGTACGTCGTTGCGTGTTTTGTTTTGTATGTGTGTTACAAAGTAATAAGAATTAAAAAAAAAACAAACCTTGTGGGCTTTTTCAAATCGTGTATAATAGCACATTTTGGCACACTTGAAACATGTCTCATGGTTATTACGATCTAACTACCAAACGAGATAGAAAGAATTCTAAAAAAAATGTACTGGCTTGAGGGGCATATGTATCGTAATGATCAACGCGCGACAAAACAATCCCTTTTAGAAAAACTGTTAGCATGTAAACGCGGCTATTTAGGCCACCTTCTGGCATTTTTTTTAAGCTTAGTACGTTTCAAAAGGTACACATTTTTTATAGCTATCTCATCACCTCCCCCCCCCCCGTCTAACCAAAAAAAAAATTAAATTCATTTCTTAGAAAAAATCGTAAGGGTAGGGGGGGGGGGGGTTCTTAGAGTTACTGATAACTGCGGGCTGGCGACGATTAGAGCTGCGAGTCTCATTGAGCTAAAACAACAAAGGTGTAGCCCGTTTGCTTAAAAAATATATTTACCTGATTTTACTTATTTGCTATGCTAAGTTACTATGCTATGAAAGTGTACAGCACTCTCGGAATTGCGCGTCGCAATATGTTTAAAAACAGAACTGTACTCAGTCGTGCCAGGTGCGCTCTTCATGAATATACCACTGCTGTTGTTGACGCAAGAAAACACCTGCTCCGGCTCACCCATACCAGAAGGGTGCCGACGCTCCGACATGGAGCACCTAATACGCCTGTACCAGGGAGAGCTGAATACACAGCCAGCCATAACACAAGTTCTGACCATCGCTACCATGCTACTAGCCGGTGACATCATCTCCCAGACCTTTTTCCAGCAGAAGACAACCTTCGACGCGAGGCAGGCTGTCAACTTCTTTATCATCGGATTGTTCTACAGCGGCCCTCTCGGTGTGGCTTGGTTCGGTCTTGTGGAACGACTCGTCGTCAAGGATGGGGTGGCGGCCGTTGTCATCAAGGTCCTCGCCGGCCAGCTCATGTTCTCTCCGCTGTTTACGCTAGGCCTACTGGTCTTCTACGGCCTTCTCAAGGGAGAGTGCTGGATGGACATCATGAAGAGCATAAGGACCAAATACGTTGCTCTGATGATATCGAGGTACATGGTGTATCCTGTGGCGCAGTTCGTCAACTTCGAGTTCGTGCCCGTCGTCTATCGTCCTATGTTCGGGGTTGTCCTCGGGTTCTTCTGGAACATATACCTCTCCCGGAAAACCAACCAGGTTGAGGACGAACCCCCAATCGGTCAGGTTCAGAAAGACTCGTTTGAATCAGACTAAGGAACATCCGTTAAATGTGACTACCTACACTCGGGTGAAAGGCGGTACGCGCTTCCGTCACTAAGTCATTTTAATTGCTGAAAATGCAGTAAAGCTCGGATATGTGCCGTGTCACCTTTCAAATTTAAACTTCTTGCCGCAGTGCTTGACTACCGTTGGCGGAATCAAAAATGGCCATAACTACAAAAACAAATCTCTGCCATTTCCGAAACGTGATCAAAGTCGGGGGGAGGTGCGTTCATATAAACCGGGGCTGCCTAAAAAGTCTAAACGTAGGTTTTATTTTCTTTTACAACGATAGCTGTTAGGGGGACGCTACGCGGTTTCGCGCCTTTGACCGCGCTCCATAACGTGCGGGCCATTTTTGGCGATCCGCCAAAACATTCCACGGGCCACTGATAAGAATATAACGAGCAAAAAAAGAAAACATGCATGGTCATGAAAGGCAGCAGGATAACATGCATGGTCAGTAGAAGTAGCCCCGCCGAGGAACCTGGCAGTTCACTGGTATAGGTGCTCATGTGGCCCAAAATTATCACACATATCGATTCTCGGGAGATAGCAGATAAAATTGCCTGAGAAAATTGCCATGCATTCTTATCAGAAAGCGAGAAGAAAGCAAATGCGTTAGTGCCCCGTCATTGCACCTGACAGATAGTTTTATTTTCTAAACGAATAGCCAGAAAGATGGTTTTAATAGTGTATGTCTGTTTCAGTAAACCTTCTTTTGAGAGTGCCCTTCGTCTTGTCTACTACCTTGTCCCTGTTTATTCAAAGTTTTTTTTTCACTTTTTTTTTTTTTTGTTTAGCACGCGTGAATACCGTTAATTCAATCCATCTGCTCCGAAATGACACCTCAGCGGCTCCGACGTCACACCTCAGATGTCGCTGTGTCTCAGCTTACGGGTTGGGTAAGTGTTATTTAGCTTTATACCCAATAAGGCACCCGGCGTAGGTAATAATCACATCGGCGACTTGCGGCGTAACGTTGAATCACTGAGCCAAGTCTTGTCCTTATTTATTTTCCCATTTTTTATTCGGTACCTGTAAGGATCAATGTGTGTGTTTTCCCTGAATGGTGGTTTATTTTTGGTCACCCACCGGCATTGCCGAACGGGCCCCCTCTTCGATAGGAGGGGGGCTGGAGGTGCGCGGGAGCGGGCCAATGGCACCTTCGCGAGCGCGCGCCGCACCACCGCGCAAAAGGAATGTGTTTCCTTAAAGGGGCCCTGGAATGACTTTTTTTACTAATTTTTAATTTGCACCGAGCCTGAGCGCATTGAACGTAGTAACTTAGTGAAACTTTTCTTTTCTCGAAATTCCCTTTACTTTAAAAGTTATAGGCAAATTAAAATTACAAAAACAAGCAAAGAATAACCTCCCTCATGACGTCCTTGGTTGCTTGAGAGTGGCCGTGAACTAGAGGAGAAGTAGTGAGCTCATCGAGCGCTCACGGCTGCCGCACTCCGAGTCGACGGCGCGAGAGGGCGCCATTGAAGCATGTTCTGGATAGGCTGTATGCAGCGGTCAGCCAGAGCGGCTCATATTGCATTTGCGGCGCGATTAAATACTAATCCGGCATGACACTTCATTGGCCACAAACGACAGCAAACACGGGGTAAAGATCAGTTCAGAACGCGAGCCACTTCGCGCTGCCATACCGCCAAAGGGCTAACTCGCCAGCCAAGAATGCGCCGAGAGCCTTGGGAACGCTCGGAACCGGTCGGATACCCGAGCCGGTGTACGACCGCAGCGCCGCCGCGTACATCCGGGACCTTTCCGTGTCGGCGCCTCATCCCACTATTCCTTTCTAGTATGCGCCGCTTTTTCCACCGCTTGGTGGCGGGTATGTCGACGGGTCATTTCTTGTTTACTTACTTTATAAACTGCATTCGTTTCTTTTTTTATCTAAAATACTGAACAAAAACTACTTTTATAAATAATTGAAACGATTCGCGCCACTTATACTTACTTTTGACTAAAAGGAAGCTTTTAGCGGCTGTGACCTGTACTAAGCCCAGGACCAAAGACATCACATTTTGCGCGCTTTCGGTACCGCGGGTCGCCCTCGTCGGTGGGGGAGGTTTCCGCGTCGTCCGGTTAAAATATGACGCACTGATATTTATTTACTCTCTCCGTGCCCGCTGGCTTGCCCGAACCCCAAGAGACGTGGAAACCGCAAAAAAGGTTGACGCTTGAACGGAGGTGGACCCCGGAGGAGCGGGGTCGGGAGATTTTGAGCGGGAGAAGTCCAAAAGTCGGTCGCGGTCGTTTGTCGCCCGCCGGCCCTTTGTTAATAAATGTATATTAAAAGAGGATCAAATCATCTTCGCTGCCACTGCCTCGCCATCAAAGTCACCAGCCGCGATCGGGGACAGGATCTTCGACAACTGACGCCTGGGTGCTGTCTGCCAAAACGACACCCCTGCTTCCGTTAATAATTTCGTTTTTGTCCGCAAGTGGTTGGAAGAGGGAGATCGGTGGCCGAGTGGGCTAGACAACACTAAAGTAACTGTATCTTGGGAAAGTAGCGCCAAGCTCCCAGTATAGGCACCATTTTTGTTCGTAAAATGAGCAATTCCTCCTTGCTCTTTGAATTCTTCGGGAGCCAACCTAAATTATCTGGTGACGGGCAGCTTCATTGGGACGTTTCTTGTATACTTCGATTTCGCAATCTCCACAGCCGGAAAACAAGCGGACATCTTCGTACCGCCACCACATGCGATGTCAGTGCTTGGAGGAATCGAAAAATAATTTTGTTGTCTTAAGATACGCAAGAAGAGAAATATCATTATAAGAGATCCATGAAGATGGGCGTGATTGATAACTTGATTGCATGAACAGTGCCTACGACGTTTATATTGGCGAGGAACGCCTTCAGTACGATAATTCTCCATGGCCATCTTGATGCGATTGGCTTAGAACGACCCTCTGGAAGATTCGAAGATTTAAATATTACGAAATGGCGATTTCCATGGCAACGTAGACCAGATTATTCAATCACCTTCCGAGGTTTTGGTCGTCTGTATGTCAGAATCTGTGTCTGGCTAGCAGACAAGGAAGACAATGGCGCAACCTTCCTAGGATTCAGTGACTTAAGCGCACACCAGCTCGGAGCAGGTGGAGCAAAGGCTCGCGCTGCAGAACACAGAGATCTAGGGTTCAATACCCACCTGTTTCGATCTGTATGAGCATTGTACTGGCGTGCGGTTGAGTATCAAAACTACACTACGGCGTGGTGCACATTAAAGACCCCACGCTGGCGGCTCTGCTGCACTGTCTACATCAGTCTTCTACAGCTGAGAGACAAGTTGACCGTTGAGGCAGACTAACTTCAGCCACATAAGCACACGAGTAACACACCCCATTTACACGTGCCACCGAACCGCATCCGCAAATACGTTACGAACGCGGTTGCTTGAAGATGCAATACAAATTCGCGTGCAGTTGATGAAAACGAGCGGATCTGTTTTGGGGTTGCAATTCGAACGCCAGTATGAATGCAGCCTTGGTGCATTCGTATCCCAGTTTGGGTTGCGGAGGCGGAACGTGCAATCGCTTATGGTACGCTCCGCATGCAATCGCGACTGTTCCTGAAGCGGGGGAATTTCGTCAGTGTAAGCTCTGCAGCAAAGCGGACCACTACATAGTACGAAGGATCTTGCTTGCGGGTTTTGTGAGCCAAAAAAGTGACGCAGATGCGACAAAGGTGGCCACAGCGAGCTGAAGAGAAAGTGGCAAGGGAAGCGGCTGGAACCGATAGCGCCGTGTCAAGCATCAACAGGAAGGAAGTTGCAATTTCGAAGCAGCCAACCGGCAGTTCTAGCTCCAGTTCACGAACAATGCGTTCCGCGCGGCGTATACTGTGTGCGACAGACTGTGGTCTCAGGCGGGCGTAAGCATGGACGTTCTAAACGCATAGCACTTAAAACCCCTTTGAGGACTGCCAAAGAGACGGTCAACGTTGTTCTTAAATCCCCAAACACATAAACAGATGTGCAAAAGTAACTCTCCAGTAAATGGATAAGTAGATATTGCTATAAAAACGTGTTTGCGCAAGAGCACTATGCTGACTTTTGAAAGTGTTCCTAGTATACTAAGTTAGTCTTCAAAAAAATTAAGATATGTTGAGGGTAGTGTTTACTTTAGTCTCGGCTCCGCCGGGGTGGTACTTCTAGGACACCAGAACCAAGAACCGCGTTGACTTCGCTCGTATTCCTTTCGTTTACAACCCGCAAGGCGGGTACGCTTCATGCAAGCTACGGATACGTTTGCATGGATGCAATAGCATACCTCATCGAAGCCAGCAGGGGCCAATCGCACGCCGCCCGTCTTCCTACTTTCCTCGTCTACCTTTCTACTACCAATCTAAAAAATGACCGCATCTCCACGTGGTGAATGATGTTGATTGGGGCGAAGCTCTGGTGGTGCTGATGATACTGATTTTAGTGTTCATAGCTAGTGCTGATGGTGCTGATTTTTTCATTGCTCCTAGGTTGTGCTGAGCTTCGGGTTGCGTTTCGACTTAATTATTACTGCTTTATGGTCGGTGAAATGCAAAGCCAGTGGTTCTTCTAGCGGATCAGATGGGATCCACTACAAGCTGTGGGAACGCATCTCCACCGCTTAAGTCAACGGTCCATGCCAGAAAAAAAATGTGTGGTATGGAACGTCGTTATATACGCATTTGAGCATTTGACCGCAGCACCCTCTCGTTTATAAACGTTGAGCCAATACATGCAAAGTCTAACGCGATTATATACGCATTTGACCGCAGCGCCCTCTCCTGTATAGACGTTGAGCGGCTATATGCAACGTTTCATTCATGACATCCCCAGCTCTTGAGTTACTACGACATCTCAGAGCCCTCTACTCGCCCCGCAGTCGTGGCCGAGTGGTTAAGGCGATGGTCTAGAAATCCATTGAGGTCTCCCCGCACAGGTTCGAATCCTGTCGACTGCGCAAACATTTATTTTCTTTTAGTATGAGCACGGACGCCG